TAAATTAAAATAATTTGTAAAGGAATTAGTGACAGAATTATGATGGGAAGCTTTGTGACGGAATTTTTCATTTCAAATTCTATCGCTAAATTAGAATAAGATATCTTAAAAATTAGTGATAGAATTTTCCATCATTATCAAAAACCTAATTTTAAATCCTCAAATTAAGCAATAGAACAAATTTGAACCCATAAAATTTAGGGACAATTTCGGTTAAGGACCACAAAAGAGACTTAAATACCAGTGGGTCCAAAAAATAAATTTTGAAATTTCACTTCAGTCGAGAAGAAAAATGTCAAAGTAATTTCAATAGTGAAAAGATTAAAATACCCTTCACTTGTTATGCATAATTACTAGTTGTTAATTTTCTTATTTAACTTTTTAATTTATTAATATCACTTATAAATTACATCCGTTTGTCAGATAATCAGTAACATTAGTTTTTAATTTGCTAAATTTACTTGCTAATTTTACTAAAACCAGTTATTACTTACAAGACTAGTAATTTACAACTAATGTTAGTAAATTAATAAGTAAAGTTAGTAATTTAATAATTGATATTGCTACTTAAGATTGACATATTAACTCATGTAATCTGTAACTTATATTTATAAATTAATAAATAAAGTAAAAAAATTAATAATTAATAATTTTACATAATAAATGAAGGGTGTTTTGATCTTGTCACCGTTGAAATTAGTCTGACCTTTCTCTCCTAGACTAAAATGAATTTCAGAATTTTTGGAACTCCCAAATAATTAAATCTTGATCCTTAACTGAAATTCTCTCTAAAATTTAAGTACTAATTTATTTCTAGTACTTACTTCTTAAAACTCAATACTCACCCTCTGCCCTAAATCTAAATTCGGCTTCACTCCTCAAAATAATACTACCATTATAAAACTTTTAATAAATAGAAAATATTTATGAATTGAATTTTGGGAATAAGAGTGGTCACACTTGAAAATGGCGGACGCCGTTGTGCAAGAGGAACCCGCATGCGACTTGGGAAAAGGAAGCTGAAGTTTTAAAGTGGAATTGGTGATTCGTGCCACTTTCCTTAGAGCATATGGGTTTAGGTGTGTTGTGGTATTGGGCGGTAGCCTTTTTTATTTTTATTTAGTCTAACACCCTTTTCTTCCTTTCCTTCTTCTTCTCCTTCACTTTTTTCTTTCATGACTTTCCTAAAATTCAAAATATTAAGTTAAGTTTATATATTTTGCTTAAATAAATTTTCATAATAATAGTTGTTTTAACAATTATAATATGCTAGGTTGGCAAAATACCTTAAATAATTTTATTTAATTTCAACTAACATTAATGATTTTCTTCCTTTTTTAAAAATTATAGCTCAAAATTAAGTTTTTAAAATTAAATCCATTTTAGGTAAATTTTATTTATTTGAATAATACCATGGTAATATCCATTCATCATGAAATAATTTAATTAGCAATTATTAGTGACGCAATGTTGTTACTGATAGAAATAATTACTATTTTTTTTTTGTAGTGATCATAATCTCTTTAGGTATATTTAAAAATAAAGAAAATAATATTGCGGACAAGACTATAGGGGTCTAGAGCAATAAAAATAAAATAAAATAATATGATAAAAGTACAGAAATTAATAATTATATTTTTCCTTAATTAAGCAGTGAAGTCAACACTTTGGAAAGTGAGAAGTTATGCATTGGTGATTTTATTTAATTCAGAATTAAATATAGCCAGACAATGAAACTTACTTCCAAAGAAACCATGAACATGACTTATTTCTTGTACTTGATACAGTAATTATGGGGTAACTTTTTAAAGTTATAATTTGATATCTTATCTTATATATAATAAAATGTAATAGTTTTTAGTGTTTATGGAACAGTAAAATCAATAGTATTGTATGCTTGCAATGTTTTGCTTAACTTGTTTTTAATTTTTTTTACCATGCTTATCTTTTTTTTCCAAATCATAATTTTTCTTCAAGAACATGCTTATATTATATTTTTAAGATATCATATTGATATATTTTTTATTTTAATAATTTTTAAATAACTTTTTAATTTTTGTCTGGATAATAAATTTTAAAATAAAATAAGATGTTTATACTTTTAGTATGCACAAAAGTAATAAATTGTAAAAAAATACAAAGTTATTGTTAAAATAACTTATTATATATTTACTACATGGATAACAAATAATAAATGTTTTGTTTTGAAACCAGATATATTTTTTTGTAATATTTTTTGTTCATAAGCCAAAAAATTCCTTAAAAGTAAAATTTGTCCATCTTTCTTAACTCTATTACCCAGAAAGTTTTACACCAGGAAAAATTGTGTTATAGTATTTTCGATAAAAATTAAACATATTATAAGCTCTACAAATAAGTAAAATCTATATTTAATTATTTATGTTTTATTTGTCTCAAGCGTGTGTTGTATAAAAATATATAAACACATTGGATGAGCATTTGATCTCACTTTCAACTTCGTATTTTTAGATTTCTTGGTTTATTTTCAAATTTATTTCATATAAATTATTACATTCTATACAATTATTAATTGTGAATTAGTGTGATTTCAATATTATGACTTATTAATCAAGATTTTCTCTTATTTTTCTAAGAATAATCATGTCTTCTTGAGTTATGTTTTGTTCGATTTAAAGAAAAAGAGATAAATGTGGATGAGATTTATTATCTTGTGAATTTCACATGAATGACTTTCCTTTCTTCTTTTCTCCTGTAATTATTTCATCTTATATTATATTATATTATAATAGGCCATTTAAATTTGAGTTTTAATGTACATGCTCTTATTTTAGAAAAGACTGACAACATTTATTAAAAGAACTATTGCAATATATAATGATTCTATTAAAATTAGATTGTACATTGAATACAATATAAGAGTCACACTCTATTAAAGCACAAATTTTTCATAAAGATACATACCCATATAATGTCTAGAAGCAAATAAAAAGGAAATGAATCTCTTTGTTAAATCCCGTGCGGCACGGGACATTTTTTCAGTTTTTAATTATAGTATTACGAGAATTACAAGAATGTTTAGCATGAGTTTTAACTTAAAAAATTACTATCAAATATCAATAATTCATAATTCCCTTCCTAATAATTTAAACTTTTAAAGCCTTTATGCAGGCTAACCCACAACTATTACTAAGACTGAAAGAATCTCTCCCATAATGCTTAAAGACAGCTAGCGTGTTTCAAAAAAATAATTTGATTTGATGCTTATACTTTTCAACATGTAAAAGGTAACAAATTGTAAAATAAAATAAATCGTTTGTACTTTTAAATATATAGAAGAGTAATAAATTATCATAAACAAGAGCTAATATATATCTCTAGGATCTCGAATTCATTCAAGTCATAAAATATATAATCACATTGAATAAATAATACTTTCAAATATCTTAAGATATTGAGTGAGATGAAATAAAAAAAATTACTATTAAAATAACTTCTAATAAATAGAGTTGAAACTAGTTGACTTGACTCCTATGAGCTTGGGCTTCATAGGTTCAAGTTCTTAGAGACCTTTTACATTAAATTAACAGTTTTTTCAACTTTGATCCTTATTAATTGAGTTAAAGGCCACATCTAGAAGCCTATTTTTTTTTTATCTTATCTTTATTTTTTAGAAAATTTAAGTTTGACATTATAATATTATATATTCATTATCTAAAATATAAATTATAATGTTTTTAAATCCAAAATAAGTAAATAAATCGTGATTTTAAAATACCAACACATTTTAAATTTTAAATTTAATCTAAAAATTTAAATAGCTCAATTTTTTAAGTTTAAAATACATACGAGTTTAAATAGGTTACTTAAACTTGAGTTAGAGCCCCTTTTTTAGGGCTTAAATGAGTCCAATTTGTGCCTAAAAAATCAAAGCATATATGAGTAACTTGATGAGCTCAATCCATATTTATTCGTTATTCACATATACTAATATACATAGCTCATGGGTTATAAATTTTAGATTAGAATATACTCCTATTTAATTTTTTAAGACACATACAATGAATTATAAAATATAAAAAATTATTGTATAGATATGTATGTTTTTAAATTTTTAAATAATTTTTACTTAATTACTTCTTTTTTGCATTTTATTTATATTTAAAATTTTCAAGCTTTTTTTTTTCAGAAATTGAACTCATTGAAATCTTCCCTTTTCTATATTACCCTTATAATATAACTTAGGATTAATATCCCAGGTACCGCATGGGCATAAACTATAGTTGCATAATTAAATCTAATTTCAGACATTAGACAATTAATATAAAAAACAACAATTTCATTGTATTACTTGATTAAAGAAATAAATATATTTTTCTAATTATTTCCAAAAAAATCATATTTAATACTCCTTCCAAATTATAATATAAAACATCTTCTAAAAGCATTGTTTAATTCAAAATATAAAGTATTGAATAATTTTTACAATTATCTTTTTAATGATACCACAAATTCATACATTATTTTTCTAAAAAAATAATGTATTAAAATTTTAATTATCATTAACAACACTCTTGTATAAAATATTAAATGAAGATATAATTGGAAAGATATAAAATTTTTTAGGAAATTAAATTTTCAACTATTTTTTTCCTAGGAGGAAAATATTCTTATAATGATACTTACTCTCTCCGTTCAAAAATATAAAATATTGTTAATTTTTTAATATGTAATTATTATTTTTTTAAATGTCATTATTAAATAAATTATTTTATATTTATTTTAGAGTAAAATACTCAATTAAATAGGGTTAAATATAAAAAATATAAAATTAATTTAAAAATAAATAATTATTTTATTAGAATGTGAATTTAAAAATGTATCACATTTTTTAAAATAAAAGAGTAATTACTTATCGAGCAAGTATCAACTTTTCAAATTTCTAAAGCAAATCGTCATTCTTCCATTATTTTAAAGTTGTTCAGTACTTGGGGGAAAGGTAGCCAGCACCAAGAGCATGATTGTACTCCAAAGCCATCGCCTTCAACGCGTCCTAGCCTCCGGTCTCCAAGTGAGCTTCATTCTGTGAAACATCTGTTCTGTAATTTTACTAATCAGGCGAAGCCACGACGTACGGCATGGCAAAATTAGCGCCTGAACAAGGAGGAGAGAGTGATAGGATTAGCAGCTTGCCAGACCCTCTGCTTCATCACATCCTATCTTTTCTTCCCATAAAAGAAGCCATAGCCAAGAGCTTGATCTTGTCCAAGAGGTGGACTCCGCTAGGGCTAGCAATGCCCGCTCTTCATATTCATGACACTGGCTTTGCTACTCTTAATTCTTTCATTCAATTTGTAGATGCAGTCTTGTTCTTGTCACATCCCAAACCCATAAACATGTTTCGTCTCAAGTGTCAGAGATTCCAAGTGCCGCCTATCAGGACTAATCTGTGGATTAACTTTCTGATAAATCGTAAAGTGGAGCATCTCGAGCTGTGTTTTGCAGATTTAAATTCTTATAGTCACGTTGATGTGCCTGCTTGCATTTTCCACAGCAGTACCATTAAGATTTTAAAGTTGGCTCAGGTTAAGCTGAATGCTCGATCTGTTAATTTGCCTTCACTCAAAGTATTGCATCTGGTGAAAGTTCTATTTTCAAATGCTGAATCTGCGGCTAATATCCTTAATGGATGTCCTCTTCTTGAAGACCTAGTATTAAAATCTTGGTCTATTGAAGCTTTCAAATTCCCTTGGCTCGGAACGTTTAAACATTTGGTGTCGGCAGAAGTTGAACTATCTTGGATTCCGTTGGCAGCTTTTAGTAATGTTAGGCTACTTCGGATTAAGGTAATGATAATAATTTACATAGTAATAACTTTTTGAAAAAAAAAAAGTTAATCTAATTGTTAATTTTGACTTCATTCTAATTCAGTCATTATAAAATTTTAATCTTTATAATTTTGTAAGGATTAAACATTTTAATAATTTAAAATATTTGTCTCTAAATTTTAAAATAGTTTTATTTTTTTTAAAAGAAATATACGCACCATCAACTAGTCAAATCAAACTAAGAACTAAATAGTTAATTTTTTGTGATTTTTCATTGTTAAATTTGATATAAAAATCAAGTTATGATTTTTATTTTTTATAATTTGATATCATGATTTTGTCAAATTAGGAAAAGCAGCTCGGGTGGAGCCTATCTCTGTCTTGTGTTTCGACAACATTTTATAATTTAAACCACCTGGAACTCTCATGTCTGAGCAGTCATGTGAACAGTCTCATGAGATGCCTTCGAAAATTCCCAAAACTTAAAATTCTTGTTATTCACAAGGTTTGTATATTTTAACTTAATTTGTACTAACAGTACTTCAATTAGGTTTCTGACTGATACGTGTATTTACGTTTCATTAGCTGGAAGATCCTGTTTGGGAGAGAAGTTCGGTGGAGTCAATGATTGATGATGTTCCTCAATGTCTTTCAACACATCTTAAGGAATTTTGTCTGGGTGAATATAGAGGGTCGGAATGTGAGTTTGAACTTGCAACGTTTATTATGAAGAACTCAAGTGCTTTGACAAACATCTCCATTTATAGTTCTGCAAAGGAAAATATAGATTCGAAACATCAAATGCTCAGAAGATTATCATCATGTCCTAGAGGTTCATTGAATTGCAGGCTGCTATTCAATTAAATTTCTGAAATGTAAAATTCTTTTGTTGGTTGTGTGTGTTTCTTGATTTTATTTTGGCTGATTTCCCTTTTGACTATATATCTTGGACAACATGTTCCGCTGGACACTTCATGGAGCTTGTTTCAGTTGGTTTATGCTAGATGTGGAGCTTTTTGACTTTTGTTTAATTCATATGATATATGTGCTTCTTCTTATCCAAATTATCGGACTTTTTTTTGTCAACTAAACTTGTTCTAAGTATAAGATATTTAATTCTTTTCGAAATTATTTTTTTTATAAATTTATCCTTGTATTAATTAATGTGGGTATGCAAAATATAATCTCTCACTTTTCATGATAATGATAAGAGCATGAGACTAGAATTGGATTTAGCGGTGAAGCAGTTCCTAACTTTATCATTGATTAGATTATTGAAACCGACTAATTTATTTTGGTCCTCTTCAATTTGAGGTTTTGTTAGAGGGGAGACAAATTTCAGAACTAATTTACCCTCATGCATTTTGTTATATTCCATTATTGTCCATTTAAGAAAACAAAAGATCACTCTTCAAACTCTCATCGGTGCTTGTTGTCACTCTTCAAACTTTACCATTATTGTCATCAAGCATTCTTCAATGAGCTTTACTTTGCTCTTCTCGCCAGGCTCATTTGGGTTTCTAATTGATATGAGGAGTTGGTTGATAGACAATATGTAGATATGTAAGCCCTTATGAGAGCCTAAGGTCCACCTTTTTTCATGACAAAGCAGATTAAATTTAAAAGTCAATCTAACAAGAAAAAAAATGAAAACCAAATTGAAGGAAATAAAATATATAAGGGTTAAGGTCCAATTATTTTCCTATACTTTTTTTCGAGGAATATTGGACACTTTATACTTTTATGTAGAGCAAATTTCTCTTTAAACTATTTTTTAAGGGAGCAAAAATCCCCTTCTATCAAATGTCTGTTTCTTCTCCCTGTTATCTGATGACTTGTCAAGGTGTGGGCCCCACAAAAAATGTCCTTCTCATCATCTTCTTCATTCTTCTTGTCCCCTCCATTGTCGCATTTTTTTTTTCCTTTTTTGGTCCAAATAAAATCAAACGTTGAGCTTGAGCCACTGATTTTGGTTTCAATTTTGTAATCTCAATTGAATCCATTGCATAGGCCAAACCTAATTTGATCAACCCATCAAGCAAGAGAACTCAAAACATAGGCCACAATATCGCTGCCAACAAGCAATGGCGGTTCCACCTTCGGCAATGACATAATCACAATTATCTTCATGGCTTTTCGCTGGCATAGGAGAGAGTTGATTTTGGAGGTGGGGTGTAGAGCTCACTGAAGGTTGGGTGAAGAGCTAACAAGGTTGAAGAAAAATGAATAAAAGCTTGTCAACGGTGGATGAGAAGATTGCCGATATTAGGGTGAGAAGGTTGCTAATAATATGTTCCGTTGGTTTTACCGCTGCCAATAGTGGCGAATCCACAGGTTCTTATTGCATCATGGACAAATGGTGGTTCAGCTTTGCCATTTCCTCCAAATCACTCTGCATCTGGAATGGTGCCACCACTGCAAATGGAGGAGTGCAGAAGAATGAAGAAGATGATGCCATGTAAATGGTCAAAGAAAGTTTGACTAAGCTAAGTCAGATTTTCGTGGATCCTATGCCTAAACAAGTCATCATATAATGGGAGAACAAATGACTATTTGACAAAGGAATTTTTTCTCCCTTAAAAAATAATTCAGAAGAAATTTTACCCTATTTAAAAATATAAAATACCTAACGCTCCTCATAAAAATGTATATGGATAAAATTAAACTTTAATGCAATATATAATTAATAGATGTGATGTGAATGCATAGGTGACACTCCCGAAAACAAGAAGCTAAATTTAAAGCATGTTACTTTAAATCCAAATATGATCGCTACATTTCGTAATTCTATTCATTTCTCTTCTTATTGAACTTTAACGAACGAACTTAAACTGATGGTCGATGCCGAGGATGTCTTCAAAGTACAAAGCATGTATAAAGACTTCAAATTAATATTATTTTGGTAAAATTGAAGGGACATTTGTAGGATATACCTTAGAAAATAAATATGCTAATTCTTGGAAAAATTACACCTAAGTTCTACAAAAAAGAATTTATTACTAAGAGATTTCATGAAATTTATAAAATACTCTCAAATTTTAAATCCTATATATTTACAACTTAGTTAAAAGCATTTACAACTTGTCTAAGAAGATTTATAATGTAATAATCTAGAAATTTAAAAAAAATTTAAAATATATAATGATGTATTTCAATTGTATTTGTATTAATTTTAAAAATATTTTATCAAGAAAAATTATCGGTCTAGTGAGAGTTGTATTGATAATTTATTTATATTAAGTATTGCTGATGCAAAAAAAAAAAAAAGATTTTTTGTATTTTTGTTTCAGCTTCACAAAATTACCATAATGCCCCTTTAAAAAAAAGATTCCCCTTCATTTTCGTTTGCTGCAACAAGAGACAGCGAGATTGAGAGTGGTTTGAGAAATTTCATCTTCCTCCACGCTGATCGTTCGTTGCTGGCGATTATGGGGGCGTCGTCACTGCCGTTGTGGGTGTTAGGAAGCTCACAAGTCCTCCGTTCTTCCTCCTCTGTTATTGCAGCTGTGAGTGTTGCTGTTGTTCTTCTTCTTTCTCCTCTCTGTGCTGTAATTTTTTTTTTTATTACTCCTTCCCTCTTGGTTCTAGCAGCAACGTGAAGGCTCGTCTCTCCCCCTTCATCGTAATCAGTCCGCCGCTGCAAGGAGTTCCAGTGCGGTCACAATCGACCTTCTCCCCTGTTCCATGCTTGTGGAGAAATCACCGATGTAGAGGTGCTGGTGTGGAAGCCACCCTTCTTTCCTCTCCCCTGTTCAGTGTGAGTTTTGATCTCTCCTTCCCTTCTCTATCGTTTGTTGGTGATTTGAGATATAGAAGCTTCAAGCTCTCTTCCCACTCGTTCTGTATGCGCGGGCGATGTCTTGTGATGTAGGTGGTGATTTTTTCCTGCTGCTGTGAGTATTGGATAGGGATGAGAAATTAATTCAAGCTGAAATCTTTAGTGCTAAGAGCTAGATGATAATTGATATATTTGATTTTTTAAGGATTAAGGCTGATTTTTATTGTTGAATTTGTTCAAATATTGATATTAGAGTTAAAACTAATTTGCCTATTGAACGAATGGAACTTGGGAAGCTGATTAAATTTAATAATTATGTTAGAAGATCTTTGGAAAATGGAAATTGGATAGGAAGAAGTTTAGTACGGGTTTAAATTTTGATGCATATTGAATATTCGATAAAATGCTTAAAAAAAATTAAAATTAAAAATAGAGATGTTTGAAAAAAATGAAAGATAAGGTTTGCTTGTGCTATTTTTTTTAAAATTTTTGAACTGAAGTTGTAGGAAGTTCAATAAAATCCTGTTATATTTTTTTAGAGAGATTTGGAAGAGAAGAGAACTTGATATCATGGTTTAAACAATAGTGCTTATAAGGTGTTGGAATAATGCTTGTTAGGAGAATCTGACATACTATGACAGGATTCTTGTGATGCTTGTATTGTTGTGAGTCAAAATATCATAGAAGACACTTCATAATGAAAATTGAGGCAGGAATTAGAGATTTGTGGAATAGGTAATTTGATTAGTGATTCAAGAGCTAGATTACTATTGATATGTTAGTGTTATGTTAGTCTTTGAAATTTTTAAGGAATAATTGATGCAACATTTGGGAAAAAAAACTATCTATTTTTATCTTTGAATAAATTTGGGTTGTGAATTTTAGATTGTTCAATGTATATAGAAATGACTATAGTACTATTTGAATAATAAGAATTTAAGGATTTCAGGTTGTTGCCAAAAGGTCTAATTTGAAAGTAATTTATATGTTTGGAAATCTATCAGATACGTGAACAGCGTTCCAACTTATTTATCAATAAAATTCTTTTTTTAAAATATTTTTTTACATAGATCATTTAATAACAATTATATTACAAATTTAATATTTTAATTAAATTATTTTTATTTTTATCTTCGAAAATTATAAAGAGATGGTGAAGGATATTTGAATTATGGCATGTGTATGTGTTCCTTCCTAACAAAGGATGCTTTCAAAATTGATGAGATTATTTCTATTGACTTTTGTTATTTTGGGTTACTCAATAAATGTTAAGCATGGACATTAGTTATGAAATTTAATTTTGGCATGTTTTTAACGCTCAAAGCTATTCATACAAGTTTGACTTTGAAAATGAAATCTAAATTTTTATAGTAATGATTTTCTTACATGTTTGAAAATAAATTTAGGAAGAATTTTATATAAAACGTTTTGCTAACAGTAGTTTTATTAGCCCTTAGCGCGTCATGATTAATAACTAACTAGTTTGATTTTTATGAGCTCTGTTCTCACATTTGTTATTCATGAGTTTAGCACCTGCATTTGTTTTTGTGATATAAGCCGTGTTTGATTACTTATTCTTATGGACTGTGTGTCAACATTTGTTTCATAGCCCAAGCTACATGTGGTTATTTATCTTCGTAGATTGTGTATCGACATTTGTTTTATAACCTAACTATATTTAATTATTTACCCTCATAGACTGTGTGTTCACATTTATCTTCATGGCATAAATCATGTTTGGTTATTTACCCTCGTAAACTGTGTGTTCATGTTTGTGAATTATTTTGATAAATCCTCTAAAAATATGTGAATTTTTAATTAATTAGTGATTTCATATGTAATGATTTTTAATTTAGTGAGTACTATTATTTTATTACTTATTTAATCATTTTCACTTGTCAAAATCAAAATTGAAGCTGCTTTATCATTATAATTTAAATGTTCTTATCATTGAAGTTATATAAAACTTTTATTCTATGTTCACAAATTTATTTACATTGAATTACTTTCTCTTTAATTTATGTAATTCTTGTATTTTATTTATTGTGATTTTACAAAACGTCATGGTTAAGACGTTATTAATTAAAATTATTGTTGATCTCAAATAGCATAGCTGACCTTGTACCTCCGTCAGATCAATGAAGAGATTTTACTTCTGGATTGAAGTTGAGACGCCATTTTGGTGTCATGTTCTAAAATTTTAACGTGACCAACATGCGATATATGTACAAATTCACATCCCCCTAAAACTTTAATTAAGAAAAGTTTTGAATTAATATATCAAAT